GGAGCAGTTGTTGCCCAGGGTGGCAGATTGGGGGTGGTTTGAGTGCCAGGGGGTATTTTTGGCCTTATTTTGTTGCTGCCCAAGCACCTGGGTCGTGCCGATTGTAAAAGGGAGTCACGGCGGGTTGGGAGAGGGAGCGGAGGGGGGGCAGCTGGGGTTGGTAGCGCTGCTGGGGAGATGCCAAAAAACCAAAACAAAACACGTTTTCATTTTGTCTGCACCAGCCTGGGCGCAGGCGAGCGCGGGAGAGAGGGAGGGAGAGGGAGGCGCACGCCAACAGAAAGCCGCCGTGCTCAGACGCGGGCCTGCGGCCACGTCCCTCCGCAGCCGCCCCAGCAGCCGTTCCCGCTCCCTCGTCCCCCTCTCCCTGCCCACCCGGCTTCGCCTGCCAAGTCCGAGTTGGCACGGCTCCCCCGGCTGCGCCGAACAAAGCCGTCACCCATCCCCGAGCCGGCGCTGACAGTAAGCAAAGTGACAGGCGCATCTTCCGCATGTTAATCCAAACGGCAAGAAGGCGAGCGAGCTGCGGAGGCCCCCCCGTGCCATGCACACCCACCCCCCCCGCCACCGAGCCACCCACCCCACCCTTGGCACCCGACAGCCCCGGTGGCCTCGTGCAGGGATGGCGAGGCCCCCGCCGGCGGGAGCACCGAAGGCTCCTCGTCGGCGAGGCTTAAATCGAGCCGAAGCCCCGCTCGGCGGGCAAACGAGGCCACTCGGCATCTGCTGTACCTGTTCCCGCTGCCTTCATCTCGCCTTGGAACCGTGACAAGAGCGCACTCGCCTCTGGTGGGCTCTCAAAGCCGCGGGTCTGTAACCCTTTGCAGGAAGTTGGCACCGATCCCAGGTAGGACTTTACTCCCCGGCTCTCGCTCTCTCCCCCCACCTCCGCCTTCTGCTCCCTCCCCTCCGCTCCCCCACCCATCCTGTCCCTTGGGCCCCTCTTGCGTCCCCCAAAACGCCACCCGGCCCCCGTTCCCCCTGCGCTGCTCACCCGCCTCGTTGGCCGGGGGTAGCGTGGGGGGCGGCCGACGGCTGCTGGGCACCCACCGAGCCCTCGTGCCCACCGCCCTTGCACACATACCCTGGAAGGATGACCTGGGCAAGACAGAGAACAACAACTTCCTGCTCTGGCTCCCTAAAACGCCTGTTTCCACGCAGGGGTTAGGCAGCGCGGCGAGACGGGGGGAGCTGGGAGGAGGTTTGGGGGTTTGTCGTCATTGAACCAGGCTTTTTTTCTTTTCCTCTTTTTTTTTTTTTTTGGCTTTTTTCTTCTTTTTCCCCTTTTTTTTAGTCTTTTTTCTATTTTTTCCTGCCTTTTTTCCTTTTTTTTAAATGCCTTTTTTTTTTTTGAAACATATATTTTTGCCCTGCAGTCCAAACCCAACGCGAAGGGAAAGGAGGGGAAGAGAAATCAAATGGGAAGAGAATAGCTTCAAGTCGGCAGGACAATGCACGGGAAACGGGGAGATTAGCGTAGCTCTCAAAATCCATCACGCCCGCCCCGTTTCTGAACCGTTCGCCCCCGCGCCTCGTCTTTTTTAATTCTCCCAGCTCCTGAATTATTCCAGTCCACGAGCGGGAGGGGAGCGCACAGTCCGGAGTCCCTCAGAGCTGCCAAGAGCATTGCAACAGGAAAGAAAGGAAGCGGGAGAGGGAGAGCCAGGCAGAGCCCTCACAATCGAGCAGCGAGAAGAGCAAGGAAAAATTAACATCCAATTAGTGCCGTGTTTAACGAGGGAGACAGAGGCGGCTGTTGTTTTATTGCCCTGTTCTTTTCAGGCGCATCTGACAGGCAGCAGGGAAGGCACCCCTGCTCTGAGTGACGTCATCATATTTTATTTTTTAATTATTTCCCCCCCCCCCCTCCCCCGTCTTTCCTCCTCTAAGTTTTGCACAGATGATCTCGGCAACTCGGCCAGAGAAATTTGGGACTTTCTCACATTCAAGCCACCATCTCCCCCCTCCACCTCCAGCCTCCCCCCATCCACCGACAGCAACCCCGGAAAAACAACAGCGCCAACCCACCCCAAAGTCTTTGTTCTTCCAAAAACAAAAGAAAAAAAAGGAGGAAAGAAAAAAAATCAGCGTTGGGATGAGAGCTGGAGGGAGCCTGGAGGAGGTTTCTCTGCGTGTGCGTCCGAGTGTGTGCGTGCGGCCGTCGGTCCCTCTCCCGTCCCTCTCCCCAGACGCTCGCTCGCCTTGTAAAACTTTGCTGCATGTGACGCTGCTCCGGCCTCCTCTGGCAGCCTGACAAGAGCCGCCCGGCCGCAGAGCGCAGGCGGCTTTTCAGGGAGAAACTCCATTCCGAGGGATGGGAGCATTCACACGTGTGCAGCGAGGGGCAGCGCCTCGAGCCAGGCCCGCAGCCGCAGCGATGCCCACCCTCGATGCCCACCCTCGCCACGCCAGCCCGGCCTCGGGGCACAGCAGGGGGAGAGGGACAAGTTTAAAGCTGGGGAGACTTTTCCCCTCCTGTTTTTCCCCGGGATGGGGGCACAGCACTCGGTCTAAGTGCCGAGGGAGGTGCGCAGGGGTCACGGTGGCTGCAGGGAAAGGAGTCTGACCTTGTGCTGACCTTGTGCTGCCACCTCTTCCCCAAAAGACCCAGATCCCCTCAGGGTAGGATGAAACATCACTGGCTCCCCCTGAGAGCAGTGCCCAGGAGGGAACAGAGCAGCTCAGTTTAGGGGGATTTGAGGGTGTTTACCCTAAAAAAAGCCCACAGCAGGCAAGCAGGAGCATGGAAAGCAGCTTCCCCACCTCCTTCCCATCCTCTTACCAGCCGTGAGTGATGGACGGAGCTGTCCCTGTCAGCGTGGCAGGTCAGGCCGCTGTGCCGAGCTTTGCTCCTGTGCTCTTTGTGGCCTCTTCTCCTTGTTTCCAGATGGGATTTCCCTTATCCAGGGGGAATCCACGAGGACCTAGCTCCTCTGTAATCCCCCTTTTCGAGTGAAGGCCATCCCAGGGGATGGGGCTGTGTGAAGACAGGGACAGGTCCAGGGCCACCACACTGCTGGTCCTGGGTCCAGTCCAAGTCCCCACCCTGAGCATTTCCTGGCACCAGCCGGCCCCACCACCCCGGCAGCAGGATCTCCTCTGTGAGGGTTATTATTTTTTTACATATATATATATATATATTTATTTTTTTTAAGGAATTATTTGCCTACGTGGAGCTCGGCGCTGCGGGAGAACAGAGCAAACAGCCTTATCGAGGGCAGCTGTGCCACAGGGCACTTCCTCATGCGTGGCTGCAAGATGGGGCCCTCCATGGCTGCAGGGGAGGGCTGGCAGCCCCTGGCCTTCCACTGACCAGACACCAGGGAGACACCAGGCACCCTCCAGGCATCGGGAGGGCTCTCTGGAATGTTCCCTCCCAGCTCCACGGCAGGAGAGCGGCACGGCCAGGAGGGGGTTTGGACTGAACTGAAGGGTCTTCAGCAGCACGGGACTGCAGGGGAAAGGACAGGATGGAACATTGGCTCTGAGCTCAGCTGCACTTCCCTGGGCACAAAGGCTCATCTTGCTGCTTTCCAGATCCTGCCAGACTCGAGCATCCATGCCCAGCGGAGACAGACCAGCCTTGACCCGAGATTCCCTCTCCTGGCTGCTGTCCCTGCCTCCCTTCTCCCCCGGGCAGCTGGGAGCAGATGAGGCCAAAGTCCCAGCAATCTCAGTTCTCCACTGGAGGCTGATAAACGGTGTGGGCACAGAACAGCAGCAATCCCCACCCAGCCTGGCTTTGTGCAGGAGAGTCAATATTTAAACCAGAGGTTGTTTCCTGGGCAGACAGGGGAGTGCCAGTGGGACAAACCCCCGGCTCCATCCCGGGCGCCAGACCCAAACCTCCTCCTCCTCCACCCCTTCATTTGTTCTCCCCACCACATGTTCCACCCTGGATCCCCTCTCCTGTGGGAATGGGGCCCCATTCCCTTCAGCTGGGATACCTGAGCAGCAGCTGCAGGGCCAGGCACTGACTAATGGGCAGCAATTGAAGGGAGAGGGATGCCCAGCCAGGGTTTGGGTTGTCTCCTTGCCTGCTCCTGGGGCAGACATTTGTCCTTCTTGTCCCTCAAATGAAATTTGTCCTGAGGCCCCTCAAATGAAGGATGGGACAAGAAGAATCAGGGATAGAAAGAGGAGGTGAGGAAATATTCAATCATCCTAAGAATGGCAGCCCCTCGCTTCAAAGTAAGGCAGTGCAGTGAAAGCTTTGAAAGCTGGTTTTCATTTAAATTGAGCAAAAAACTACAGTCAACTGTTGGGTTTTCAGCCAAGTTTGTGGGCCCTGATGAACTGGGCAGAAATTACTGGCAGGATGCATCCACTGGTGCAGCTTTAGGTAAATCCCTTAGGTAAATTCCTTAGGTAAACTCCTCAAAGGACAGGAAATAGCACTTTTCCCTGCAGTGGCTGCACTCAGGCTGTGCAGAGGCTGCAGGAGGCTTGACAGGCATGTGAGCAGCAGAAGGTGGCTTTAATTTGGAGGGCAAAGGTACATGATCCTGAGCAGGTGCTGTGTGACCTGGCAGGTGCAATGCCCTGTGTGGGAGCAGGTCATAAAAAAAGGTGATTAAAGGGAAGGATGGAGCTGTGAGGGGGAAGATGGAATGGCTGAGCCCACCTCACCAGTCTGAGAGTATCAAAGGGTCTCCATCACCACTTTCCAGAAGACCTCAGGGTCCATTTTAACTCCAAAAACCTAATTGAACATATATTGCTTCAAGCACCCAAGCTCTCTGCTGCCTCCACCTTCACTCCAAGTGCACCCACTGCAGTTTGCTCAGCCTAAATATGCCCACCTTCCATGGAGGTGAGGAAAATCAGGGGGAATACAAGTTTTAAACAGCTGGTTTAGCCCCTGATTTGTAGAAAAGACCAAATGAAGTGCCTGTCTTAAACTGAAACCTTCCCTGAGGGAGCACAATACACAGGGGAAAAAAAAAAAATCACAAAAAAAATCACAGAAAAACCCCCCAAAAAACCAAACCACCCAATAGTTGTTTTATAACTGTATTTTAGAGCATAATTAAATCCTCTTTGAAATCATCTCTGGTGTTAGGGAACAGGTCCATGCATTATTTAACTGTAACACAAACTGGGAGCGAGGGAGGACAGACAGGACTGACTTCATGACACTGAAGGGAGCTGGGTGGGGGCTGCCACTCCCAGCACACACCAGCATTGTCCTGCAAGCCCAGCACACACCAGCACTGTCCTGCAAGCCCTGCCTGGGGTGTGCATCGACCCTGCCTGCTGGAGAAAAGCCCCCTGTGGTGGCAGGTCCCCAGAGGCCCAGGATGAGATGTGACCACAGCTGCTGCTGCTGCAGCACATGGGAACCCTCTCAAGGAATGCTAACCCTCTTCCCAGGGAGTGCAGCATCACCTCTGTGCAAAAGACTGCTTCGTGGGGAACTGAAATGGGGGAATTCTGCCTGGCTGCCATCACAGCACAGACTGGTGCAAAAAACCTCGTCTGGGGAGCTGAGCATCAGTCCTGCCCTGGTGCCACTGGTGAGCTCTGCTACACACAGAGCCAGCCATGCTCCACTGAGACCAGGAGCCTTCAATTCTGATGCCTCAGCAGCCTCTGGCCAGCTCAAGGTGTATCCCTTCATTGCAGACAGCCCTGGATTGCTGCCCCTGCTGCAGGAGAGCCCTTTGTGTGCAGCTCTCAGATCCCAGCACTCCCTTTCCATCAGGAACAGGAGCCCAGCAGGGCTCGTGGTGCTGCTGGCTGGGAGATGGCCCTGGGTGCAGCCAGGCCAGTCCAACACAGCACCCACCTCCCCCAGAGTGTGTGCAGGCTGCCTGCCCTGCCCTCAGCTCTGCTGGCTGTACCTGAACACAGCCCATTCCATGAGTGTATCCTGTGTGCAGGCTGCCTGCCCTGCCCACAGCTCTGCTGGCTGTACCTGAACACAGCCCATTCCATCAGTGTATCCTGTGTGCAGGCTGCCTGCCCACAGCTCTGCTGGGTGTATCCTGAACACAGCCCATTCCATGAGTGTATCCTGTGTGCAGGCTGCCTGCCCACAGCTCTGCTGGGTGTATCCTGAACACAGCCCATTCCATGAGTGTATCCTGTGTGCAGGCTGCCTGCCCTCAGCTCTGCTGGGTGTACCTGAACACAGCCCATTCCATGAGTGTATCCTGTGTGCAGGCTGCCTGCCCTGCCCATAGCTCTGCTGGGTGTACCTAAACACAGCCCATTCCATGAGTGTATCCTGTGTGCAGGCTGCCTGCCCACAGCTCTGCTGTACCTGAACACAGCCCATTCCATCAGTGTATCCTGTGTGCAGGCTGCCTGCCCTGCCCATAGCTCTGCTGGGTGTACCTAAACACAGCCCATTCCATGAGTGTATCCTGTGTGCAGGCTGCCTGCCCTGCCCACAGCTCTGCTGTACCTAAACACAGCCATTCCATGAGTGTATCCTGTGTGCAGGCTGCCTGCCCACAGCTCTGCTGGCTGTATCCTGAGCACAGCCCATTCCATGAGTGTATCCTGTGTGCAGGCTGCCTGCCCTGCCCATAGCTCTGTTGCCTGTATCCTGAACACAGCCCATTCCATGAGTGAAATCCTGCCCAAAGCAGCACCACTGGCAGCACATGTCCCTTCCCAAGGGCTCTCCATGTCCACATCCCATTGCTGCCCTGAGCTGGGCTGGACCTGTCTCTTTGGGACTCTGCTGTTCTTTGCAGTGGGACTCTGTTTCCCTTCCCTATTTTGATCCTATCATTTCCTTTTCACCCCCGTGGGAGATGGGATGTTCCTGGGTGATCAGGTACCCTCAAATCTTAAATATGGATGCCAGGTTGATCTTGCCCAGCATGAGCTACCCTGCCAGGCCAAGGTGCTCTCTCCAGAAAGGATGAGGCAGGAGCTGTCACCTGGCATAACCTTCCCAGGGAGGTGACCTTGGATCTCCTGCTGCTTTTCAGCTCAGGCAGAACAAAGCAGTCTTTTGTCCCTGCAGCTCATGGCTGGCTCCTTTAGTACCTGGGCATTTTCTGGATTCCTGGACTTCCCCAGCAACTCCAGAGCTACAGCCTGGACCAAAGAGACAACGGCTTTCTGCTCTCTCTGCTATACATCCCAGTCGAGACAGCCACGAGGATGGAGCTTTGGTGCAGCTGGAGCCTGAGCCAGATGTCCAGAAGTCTGTTCCTGGCCTTGCTGGAGAGGAGGTGTCAGTTCTGGCACCATGGACTTTGGATCAGAAAATAGAAGTATACAGATATCGAAACAAGCTTGGGGTTTCTTGAGGAGTCCAGGTTGATGAGCTGTCCCTGCTGAGGCGTCAGTCCATGGGGAAGGAGGCTGGGATGGGCGCCCTGCGGAACAGGAGGCTGGAGCCACGGAACAGCTGCCCCTGAGGAGGAGAGCCTGGGGTCAGGGCAGCCTCACACCTGCCCAGGGAGCTGCAGCTGCTTTAGCAGGGCCCCACTCCATGCCCATGGCAGGGCTGCAGGGCTGGACAAAGTGAGGTTCCAGCCCTGTGGGTGCTGGAGTTGAGCATTTTCCCCAGGGGTGACAGATGCAGAGGGGAACAGACTCTGCTGTGTGCAATGCATGGGAAAAAAGCTCACAGGCTGCAAGCTTGGGGTGTGCAAGGGGCAGAGCAGCACTGCCAGGCTGGTACCAGTGCCACAACTGGAGGGACAGAAGCAGCTTACAGAGCACAGCAAGGATGCAGCACTGCCATGGTGGTACCAGTGCCACAGCTGGAGGGACAGAAGCAGCTTACAGAGCACAGCAAGGATGCAGCACAGGCACTTTTGGGGAATGCTGGAGACTTGGGAAAGGAGCAGAGGGAGCCCAGAGCCCCGTGTGTGCCCTGCTCCCTCACCTGAGCACTGAGGTACCTCCAGCAGTGGATCCAGGATGCAAAGGCAGGAGCGTAGGGAGGGAGGCCGGCGCGCAACCTGCACGGCAACAGGGAAGAGCTGAGGTGGATGTGTCACCTTACCCACACAGGTAACAAAAGAGCAGCAGGAGGTGTGAACGAGGACACCGGGACAGTATCCACACCGGGCTGGCAGCCAAGTGACAGCTCGTTATTTACAATGCAGCAGATCTGTAATTTAATTACCCCTGGAGTGCACAAACAAGGAGCGTTACCTGGAGACTTTGAGAGTCCAGGACCGTATCTACACCTTCAAAAGCCAGCAGATACCGAGAAAACACGGCACCAGACTTGGATCCCGTTCCCACGAGCAAAAAAATGCAGAAGACTTGCAGCAGTGCGATTGGGAAGGCAAGCTTGGTCCTGCTCCTGTCTGCTCCCACGGCTGCCATAAGAGCTCTGCTTCCCTCGTGCTGCTCCCTGGAGCCAGCACTGTCCCTTCGATCCCTGTGCCTCCAGCTCAGCTCAGACCACCACAACTCTCCCGATTTCTCACCACCTGAGCTTTTCTGCTGCTCGTGTCTGTGCCCTCTGATCTAAAATTATAAGCAACGCGGGACAGGAAACGAGCCAGCTCTGCGAGGTGCCACAGAGTTTACGGGGCTGGAGGAAAGCTTTACGGTCGTTAGCAGCCCATTCAGACAACAAGGGGCTGCAAGAAAGGAAAGGAAAGCTTTAGATCTCAGTGTGAAGGACATACCCACAGTTGTTCACTGCCATGAGATCTCCCACGAGAAGGAACGGGTAGGTCAGCATGCTCACAGCGATCTGAAAGCACAGAAAACCAGCAGCGTCTCTAAAGCTCCCCATGTCAAAAACGCTATTTCCAGCTTTTGCATGTTAGCAGAGTTATCCTTGGATAAGGGATGTCGAGTACAGAGCAGCCTGTGTCCCCAGGCACGAGCTCTGAGCCCAGAGGTGGCAGGAGGAGGGGAAAGCACACAGCAGCTCCTACATACCCCCATCACGAACTTGGTGTAGCTCCGGATCACCGAGGCCTGGCTGAACTGCAGAGAGAAACCCAAGGTGTTGTGGAGCAGGGGGCTGACACCAGAGTGGCACTGTCACTATGTGACACTCCCGAGCCTGAGGTGAGGGGCAGGGGAGGAGGCAGAAAGCAGCAAAGAGCAGCTGCATTCCAGCTGGGAGTCTGGGAAGGCATCTGGGGAACTGTGATCCCCCAAAATGCAGGTGAAGCCCAGCCCTGAGCAGACACAGAGCCCCCAGCACTCTCACAGGGATGTCCCCAAAGCCTGGGGTCTGTATTAAATCAGCCCCTGCTCCCCAGGAACTCCTTCCCACTGCAGGTGCTTCCTCCAGACCCCAAGCCCTCCCTCGGGCACTTCCACTCACGTTGTCATCCACAGCGTAGGTGTTGATGAAGTGAGCCAGGAGGTTGCAGCACCAGAGGAAGATGACATCCCCCAGGACGTGAGGGACTAAGCCACTGCAAGGGCAAAAAGAGGGGTGTGAGGTGCAGGAGGGTCCCAGTGCCACCTCCTGAGATGCCCAGCCCTCCTTCCCTCCACCAGCTCAGAGGAACTCCACTCCCCCAAAATGAAATTTTTACTTTGGGAGGAACTGAAAAGGGAAATTTCAGGGAAGAGCTGTCTCAGCCTTCAAACTTGGTACTACATGTGCTGCTCTGGCTGAAAATTTTTTGGGATGTTTTTTGGGCATGATTCAATTCCCCTTGTTCTACCCCAAATCCCTTCTTGGCCCAACTCCTGCTGAGAAACCCAAGTGAGACACAGATGAAGTGGTTTCCATTTCTGAACTTGCTCTTTTGGATGCACAATGAGAAGTTCATCTCTTTGTGGAATCTCCCTTCTTTTAGAAATCAAAATGAGAGGGGTTGTTCCTGCACAAGCTGCTCCACTGAGAAATGGAGTAACTGGGGAAACACTGATTTTTCCCAGTCCCTGCTGCCCCCCAGGAGCAGAGTTCTTTGGTTAATGCCTCCCACTGACACACTGGAGCTCCCAGCAGCACCAGCACTGCCAGCTTTTGCAGATAATAGCACTAAAACTTTAACAAAATATTCCAGAGGGTTTCTCCAGTTTTCTCTGCTGCAGCAGTGCAGGGTTTCCTGCTTCTGCAGGGGTTGTTCCACTATTAAAGGATCCAGGTGTGTGTCAAACCCGTGTTTCACCAGCAGATGCGGTCAGTTCTGAAAAGGAGCCTGTCAAGAGCCACAGGAGTGTTTGCTGAGCTGCAAAGAGCCCCCTCCAGGCACCTCCAGGCACGTTAATCGGAGTCTTTTGTTTCTTCCCAAACACCACGCTGCCTCCTCCGAGCAAGGCACCGGTTTGTTTCCTGCTGCGGTTGCTGCAGCAGCAGAGCAGCAACGGGGACTGGTTTTGGGAACAACCTGTGCATTGTTAAGGCCCCAGCAGCCCTGAGGATGCAGCTGAGGTCTCAGGGGCCAGGCACAGCAGAAACCTTCAACAGAAGATTCACTGGCTTCAAAGATGTGATACATGAGAGCAGCAGACAGGACAAAGAAATCAAAGCTCTCTGGCCCCAAAGAGATGTTCTGCTTTGTGTTTGGCTTTCAGCCTTTGTAAAAAAACCATCCTTTCTCTAACTCAAAGTTAAGTCTGAAGCTCCTGAGCTGCTGCAGATACAACAGAGCCTAATAAAATCCAGAAGCAAAGGGCTGGGCCAGGGCAGCCCCAGAAGGAAAACCTCACCCAACTGTTGAGAGGGAGTCAGACTGTTTATTCCACTTCCAATAAAGATCCCATCCCTTTCTCCCCTCCAAAGTAATGACAGCTGCTGGCCCTAAGCTGGATGACTGGAAACCAGGGGTCTGAGAGCTGCAGAAAGGAACTAAAAAAAAGCCAACAAGCCAAAGGCATCAGGCCTGAAAACCCCTCCTGGAATTCCAGCACTGTCTTTACTACTATTGACATGAAAAAGTGAGTGCTGCAATTCTCACACCTGCTGAGATGTCCAAGATCTGAACTGGGAATATCTTTGGAAGATGATGAAAAACTGGAATAGCAGCAGGCAGAGGAGGAAGCCTGAATGATGTACAGCAATGTGACACAACAGCAGAAACCCCAGTGCAAGGGACCTGGGACAAGCCAACCTTGAGCTGACCATGCCCAGCAGCTTTGGAGCTCAGGGAACACCTCCCTGGGCTGGCAGGAGCCTGTTGCAGATAGGAGGGGAAGGGAGATAAATCCATCCTTGAAAAGCCTTTATCTCTAGCCAGGCCAACACCCAGAGAGTGTGAGACTCAGAGAGTGTGTGCCACTGTTATAAGGCCATGAGAAACAAGTGCACTGCCATGATTTTAGGGCAGTGCATGTGCTGGGATTGCACCAGGGCTGAGAGGAGAAAACCAGCAGTCTGGTCCTTCAGGTGTAGTTTGTGCTCCCCTCACAGCAGTGGGATTTCCTAACAGGGCTGTAGAGCATGTAGAACTTCAGAACCCTCCTGAGACAATTTGGGTTGTGTTAAAGGCTTTCCTGAGAACCATTAAGTTTCATTAGGCCACCAGCAGTGTTTATTTTATGTGGATGGAAGGGAATGTGGTGGCTCCTTTCAGATCACTTGCCTGGGAGGTGGAGGGTTGTGAGCAGCCTGCTCCAGCTATGCCCCACTCACAGGGACCATCCCAGAGCATCCTGTGTTTAGTGCAGCAGATTTGGAGCTGCACAGCTCAGCTGAGAAGCTGTGGGCTGCCAAAGGAAGAAGCAGTGACCCTCAATGGGTGGGGTCTCTGCAGATCCCTGGCCATTTCCCCTTGGGGAAGGACAGGGGGAGACCCTCTGTGATTTTTTTCCCTCTTCCTGATGCATTCATGTTTCATGTGGAGGCCCATATTTTGTGAGTGCAGAGCCAAAGGCATCCTGGAAACCCCTACTGAAATTCCAGAGCTGCCTTTACTATTATTGACATAATAAAGTGAGTTATCTCCCCACCACGAGCAGACACAGCAGGTGGTTCTGCTTTTATGTAGATATGAAAAAGAAAGGCAGGAAGCATTAATTAAGGGTTCAAGCAAAAAGGTGTCCATTAAACTTCCCTTTCAGTGATGCACCAATTTGCCACGCTCTGTAAGCAGCTGGAAAAACCTTTCAGCTCCTCCTGGTCCAGGCACCACCACACTCCAGCCACGCAGGTATACCTGCTCTTTACAAGCACCCACGGTGCTCTGCAGAGGAATATGCTGCTTATCCAGGGCCTGGCTTTCATTTCAACAAGGGAACTTTTGTTGCACTTGATCTTGGTGCCTGTTGCACAAATAAATGCTTTAAATGGCCCTTCACTGAAACACAAAGAAGCACCAAGGGAAAAAGAAAGATAAGAAAAAACACAGCTTGTTCTGGGATCTGAAGGTTTGATTGAAGATAAGATCTGGGGCAAACTTAATGGTCAAACTGGAGTGCTGTCAAAGGCACAGATTTAATCGTGGGAGTGATGTGGGAGTCCCTTGGTCAGACAAGGTTTCAGCTCAGTGTGACACCAGCTGTGGCAGAGCCATCAGTGCCTTCAGGCTATGGGAGAAAGTATTTAAACAACAATTCACTTACACAAAGAATCCCAGGATCCCTTCTTCCTTAAATATCCTGCCAATGGCACTGAACACACCGCTGCCAAGAAAGGAAGAGAGCTGTGAGTGTGCAGAGTTGTTCCACCTCTGCCCTGTGCAGCTTCACACCAATCCTGCAGCCCCCGGCCATGGCAGTGCCTCCCCAGCCATCATTCCAGCAGCTTCTTCTGCCTATTCTCCTCACACCAGGCAGGTTTGAGGGAAGGAAGGTCGGGTCTGTGCTCTGCCAGTCTGCAGTGACACCAGCAGAACACCCAACCTGCACACAACTGTTCAATGCTGAAGGCACAAGAGCTCTGTGAGGCTTTGTGAGTGGGTACAGATGTTGTGTGATATGGTTTGATTTGGATGATTCTAAGCCCAAGAACCCTGCCTGCCTTTGGGAACTTGAGCTGGCTGTTGTGGGCTGGCTGCAGTCCTGTCTAGTGTGCCTCCACATTGCTCCACAGGCAGTTTTGCCCTGCAGAGAGGCAGCTGGTACTGCAAAAGGCTTGGAAAAATTTTACAGACTAAGCAGGGCTGCAGCAAAGCTTTGTGTTACCCACTCTGCCTCCCTGCTGCCTTCCTTTTCCATTAATAGCTAAAGGAAAAAGGCAGGAGACTCACTGTGTGATCAGCAAGGGGTGATACAGCCCCAAACAGGCACAAGGTGGAACAGAGGCACACCAGGGACAGAGCCCAGCCTTCCACACCCCTTCAAGCCCCAGTCACCCACCCTGTAAGCACAGCTCAGACTCACTTTTCAGTCTCTCAAGCTTCCTGGATAACCCTATTCCCATGGCATGGGAGCCACCATTAAGTTTCTTTAGGCCACCAGCAGTGTTTATTTCATGTGGATGGAAGGGAATGTGGCAGCTTCTTGCAGATCACTTCCCTGGGTGGTGGAGGGTTGTGAGCAGCCTGCTCCACTCCCAGCCATGCCCCACTCACAGGGACCATCCCAGAGCACCCTCTATTTGATCTGGGGTCAGTACCTGGCACCCCTGACACCAGAGCCTCCCCAGCTGCAGCCACTCACCTGTATTTGACTTCCCGGCCCACAAACTGGACCATGCAGCGCATGGAGATCACTGGGAGGAAAGAAACACAGGGCTGATAGACAAACAAATCCAGTTGGGGTTCTACTGGATGTCAAGGGAAATGAAACATGACCCTTCTGCTCTCCCTCAACTCACAGCATCTCCAGCTCCTCTCAGTGGTCATCAGCACTGCAAGACTCATTAGAAACTGGGGCCTTTCCTGAGCCTGTAAGTGGTGGGAAGGATTTCAGAGGATCACTGAGGGGTTTGGGTTGGAAGGGATCTATCAGGTCCCTATCTTTTTCCAAAAGATCTGTCTTTTTCCAAACCCCCTGGCATGGGCAGGGACACCTTCCACTGTCCCAGGCTGCTCCAAGCCCTGTCCAACCTGGCCTTGGACACTTCCAGGGGTGGGGCAGCCACAGCTGCTCTGGGCACCCTGTGCCAGGGCCTCCCCACCCTCACAGAGAAGGATTTCTTCCCAATATCCCATCTAACCCAGCTCTCCAGCAGTGGGAAGCCATTCCCTGTGTCCTGTGTCTCCATGCCTTTGCCCAAAGTCCCTCTCCAGCTCTCTTGGAGCCCCTTTAGGCACTGGAAAGCTGCTACTGGCCCTAACCCCTATGGGATCTCTAGGACAAGGTCCTGGATGAGTGGCAAGAGAGAAACTCATTGCTCAGCTGTGTTAGTGCCTGAAGGCAAACCCCAGCATCAGGCTCATATGATAGAAAAGTATCATAAGAATCATCCCCCTGAGTGTGCAGGGTTTGGGGGGATGCCCAGCCTGGAGGGAGCTGCCAGCCAGGGCACAGGACTCACCGTGCAGGGGGTGTGACACCACCCGGGACACACACTGCATCATCATCTCGTGGGATGTCTGGGAAGGGAGGAGAAAACACCTGTGAGAAAGAAAAGCTGGGCTGCTCCTCCTGTTCCCTTGCCCTCACTGTGGGGAAACACATTTTGGGTCCCTCTTTTGAGATCTGTTCTTGTGGTGAACCTCTACTCCTGTGAATTATTTAATGGATAGACACAGAATGGCCACTGATAGACAAACAAATCCACAAATTTCTCACCACAAATTTCTCACCCCAGTTTCTCTCCAAGTAATCTCACCCATGTCCCCATGTTCCCAGCCACTCTTGAATGGGCAATATCCACTTCTCACCTCTCTGACCACTTTCCTAAGTGAAGTTTTCACATCATCCTGGTTAGACACATGCTCCATGTCTTCCAGTGGAAAAGCCTGAGTGGAGAGGGAAGCAACGTGCTCAGAACTGATGGAGATGCTGACCCACAATGTCTGAGGACAGGGGAACCCCAAAAAGCTGTGCTCTAGATGCAAGGGCAAGACAAACAGGCAAGAAGGAACACAGGAGAAGAAAGGATGGAAAGTAAAATAGAGGAACAGAGGAGTCACAAAACTGCAGACAGAGGATACAAGGCACGGGTGTGCCTAATCAAATTAAAATGGTTTATAAATTTAAAAATGCCTTGGGGATAAGGGCACTGGAGGACTATTCCCTTAGGAGATGGATGGATGCACCAGTCCTCCTTGCTGCAGTAGCACTGACCCTGCAGGTGATCAATGGACAGAGAAGCTGACCTTTACCTTCTTCACACTGCCCCTGGTGATGGTTGATAACGTGCTCGAGATGAGGCGAGGGGTCAGGCCACGGAAGAGGCCTCTCTTCCCATCCACTTCCACGATGTGTCTGGCTGGGGGGGACAACACCAGGCTGCTGTCAGCTGGGAAGGGGACAGGGCATGCAGAGCACCCCAAACAGCCCCAGGGTTCAGCTGAAACCACGCCAGGCTCAGCTCAGCACTCCATGGCCCCACAGTAAGTGATTTATTGGAACACTCCTAAAGAAACTTCTTACTGGAGGACAGGAATTCTTACTCTGTCATCTGGCTAATCTGGAAGGACAGCTGCAATATTTTGGGCTACTTTTTGTCTTTTGATGGTTTTGCTCACCTGAAAGGGCTCCAAGGCAGTTTGGACTGAACCAGGCAGGGGGGATCATCCCATGTGCTCTGTGCTGTCACCTCCTCCCTCCACCCCAGGAGGGTTCATACGGATCTCACAAACCCATGTTCAGTTCCTGCCCCACCACCTTCTCCCAGGCAAACTTCCTCAGGTCTCCAGTTGCAAAAAAACAAAGCTCAGAGATCCCATTTCTCCCACATATAACAAGGTGGGATAAAACCCATCATGTGCTGGTGGCTACTGACTGCTCCTGGCCCCTGTCCTGTGCTGCCCAGGTGGGCTCTGCACCTCTCCATCACCCAACACTGCCCATCTCTTAGGAAATTGCATCTTCCAAAGGACAGCACTGGAGCATTTCCAGCCCTGGGTGTCCCAGGATGGGCTTCCAGGGCTCTCATCCTGCTCCTGTGCTGGTTCCACCCCATGGATACCACTGGCAGATTTTGGGATTGGCCCAGGTCAGCTGTCAGGACAGTGCATTCCCTTCCCCACAGCAAACCTGCTGTGACACCAAGTCACAAAGTATTCACCCACCTCTCCCATGCTGCTCTCCCACTCACAAAAAGAGGAAAATACCATTGTTTTTCCTTCTAAACATATTACCTGCCCTTTTCTTGGTATTTCTGTCCCTTTAGGGCTCCATCTACAACACAAATGAGCAGGGCATGGGGCAGGTTATTCCAGGGCTGTTTTGGAGCAGAAGGAGAGTATTTTGCAACCTCCAAAACACATTAAAACCTCCTGCAACAAACCTACAGCACCTAAAATCCCCCAAACCCCTCCACCATGGTGCAAACCCAGAGCAATGTGCCACAGGAACACAATGCAGACCAACACCCCCCCAGCAAGAGGTACATAAATATGACAGCCTTGCAAGGAGTTGTGGTGGTTTATGCCTCACTGCAGCCTCAGATGATCCCAAGGGGATGTGGGAGTGCTGCTGGGGTCAGCTCAGGCTGCCTGGCAGCTCCCAGCCCTGACTCCACGAGGGCAGGACCTCGTGCTGGCAGGGAGGGACAGTCACTCACCGTAGGTGAAGAAGCCAGGCAGGTACAGGACCTTCCTTCCCAGCACATTTCTGCCAATGGTTGGAGGTAGTGGCTCATGGCCAACCTGAGAGAGAAAGCTCATGAGCAGGTCTCTGTTCTGGTGCTCCCAAAGTCCCTGGGATGAACAGGATTGATCCCAGCATCCCCATGTCACTCTCATTCCTTTCCCACTCCTTCCCCCTTCTTATGGCATCCCTAGGTTACAGGGGGTCCTCCACCCTCCAATTTTAGGAGCTCCCTGTTACTGAGAAGGTCTTGGGCTTTCCTATCTCTTCTTATATGGGAGGCCCCATGGCAGAGGGGTAATTTTATAGGGGTTCCCAGATTGCTGGGTGTCCCCATTCCCTGTCATAGGAGGGGTCCCAATGCCCCACTACAAAGAGCCCCCACTGTATGGGGGGCCTCACCCCTCCATTATATGGTGTCCCCTATTCCCTATATAGGGTGCCCCAGTTGTAGAAGGCATCCTCACCCTCCTATTATATAGGACCCCATTTTTATATAGGATCCACCAGTGTATAGGGGACCCCATTCCCTTACATATGGGGCACTCCATTACCCACAGGTCCCTCATTCTGTAAGTGCTCAGGGGGTCCCTTATAATGGGGGGGGCTGCATGTACAGTGACCCCCAGGGCATGGAGTCCTCTATAGGGGCACAAACCAGGAATCCACTTCCACCTGTGGCACTGGGGTCCCAATCTCCCATCCCATACAGGGACTCGATCCCGTTACCCATGGGGGTCCCCCATTCTATAGGAGCCCCCCATTCTGTAGACACCCCCATTGCACAGGGCGTCCCACTGTAACGGGGGGCCTGTACATACCGTGTATATAACCCTAGCACATGGGGGTTTCCATAGGGGCACTGCAGGAATCCAGAACCCCTATGGAAATCCAATATATCTCCTCCTGTTATACCGGGGTCCCGATGCCCCGTTACCCATTGGGACCCCACCCCATTAATTACACCGGGGTCCCGATGCCCCGTTACCCACAGGGACCCCACCCCATTAATTACACTGAGGTCCCCCCTTCCATAGGTGCCCCCCGTCCTATAGGTGCCCCCACCGCACAGGGGGCCCCGTTATACCGGGCAGGGCTGTACAAACAGTGACCCCCAGCGCACGGAGGCCTCTATAGGAGCACTATCCACAAATCCTCCCGTTATCCCGGAGTCTCCCCCGCCGTTACACACGGGACTCCCACCGCACCGTCCCCCCCCGCCCCCGAGCGGACCTGCACGAGCAGCTTCACGTAGAGCAGGGGATGGCTGGCGGCGGCGAGCCCCGCGCCCAGCAGCACGAACAGGCCCTCGGCGCCCTCAGGCCCCGCCGCGTCCGCCGCGCCCCCGCCAGGCGGCGACAGCGGCCCCGGGGGCAGCGCCGCCATGGCCGCCATGGCTCGCGCGTCACCGGCCGCCACCACCGCCGCGCGGGGCGGAGGGGGGGGGGTGAACCACGGAACCATTGAGGGCGGGAGGAACCATTGCGGGGCGGGGGGAGCCCGCCATGAGGGGAGGCGATGGCGGCGGCGGGAGCGGCGGAGGGGCAGCGGAAAATGGAGAAGGGTTTGAGGGATTTGTGGAGTTGGGTGTGAGTAACTGACCGAGATTGTGAGCACACGGCAGAGGGGTTTGGGAAAGGGGAGAGAGAAAAGATAACTCGAGTTAAAGAGAGAGGGGAGGGGAGGGGAGGGGAGGGGAGGGAAGGGAAGGGAAGGGAAGGGAAAGGAAAAAAAGGAAAAAGAGAAAAATGAGAAAAAAGGGGGAGAAGAGAAGAGAAGAGAAGAGAAGAGAAGAGAAGAAGAGAAAAAGACCCAAAAATACAAGGAAAGGAAAAGAAAAGAGGAAAAAGGAAAGCAGATCAATGGTTGCATTGCTCTGGCTGATGCGATGTCCAGGCTCCTGGGGCACAAGTTCTGGCATGGGTTTCTCACTTGCCGTGCACATTGGTTCTCATGCACAGAGCACTGTCTCAGACCTTTCTGGAAAAGTGTTGCCCCTTCTCCAGCCACGACTTGTTCTCTCTCACGGTTATCACCGACAATCCTTGTCTGTTGTTAGCAGCAGTCCTTGGCTGGCCCCACAGCCATGCAGCTGTGGGTGTTTGGGACAGACACAGCAGCCCTAGCTGGGCACCAGGGTCCTGCCAGCCCACTCCAGCCCCCCAGACTGTCCAGACTCCCACCCTGGTGGGACACTCAGAACCTAGGAAATTCCTCTGCTGCCCTGGAGGGCTCCAGCCCCTGCCCAGGGTGCTCAGAGACCTTGACACAGAGCCCAAGACCCCTGTGCCTTTGATTTAGCCCCTGGAAAAAACAATTACCAACTTTATTTACAAGCCATGAAAGTTTAAGTAGAATGATAGTGAATTTATGACAGGGTGAAAAATAGATTTTTTGGGGTTTTTAGCATGGGGGTTCAGGGGAAAAGATGGGGGAATCTGGGCGTGTCCGGCCTTTCTCCTTCTTCTTCTTGGCCTTCATCTTCTGCTGTGATGTTGGCACTTTTAGATTGGTTTAGAGTAGAAGCTCACTGTCTAACATAGGTGATAGGTATTGGAAAGTAATTGTAAATATTGTATATCTAGGTTTTTTAATAAAAAATAACACCACCCCGGGGGCAGGCAGAGTGCCTGGACTGTCTTGCTGAGCAGACCTTGGCTGGACAGGAGAAAATAATTTATAGATAAGAAACAATAAACAACCTTGAGATTGAGAACTGAAGAGTTCTGACTCCTTCTTCAATCACCAGGCTGGGAAAAGAGATTTTCTAACACATCTCAGGGTCACTGTGACCAGCAGAGTCCCGAGAGGACAGAGCCCACCCCACGTGTGCTGCACAGCCCAGAGGTGTCCCAGGTCACACCTGCCCTGCACCATCCCTGCTGCTGCTCTGGCCTTGGCTGTGCCACACTTGGGTCCCTCCCAAGCTGAAGCCATTCCCAGTGTTTTCTCAGCATTTCTCCTACCCACAAAGTGCTGTGGTTCCTCTTTCCCTTCCCTTTTGAGGCCAACCCAGTGACAAGCTCTGCTACCACAGAGAGGGCAGCGGGTGGGCTTTGCCTCCTGCAAATCCTCGTTCCCAAACTGCAGCCAGAACACTTCAGAGCAGAGAGGGGGACAGAGGAAGGAGCTGCAGCCCCCAGCACCTGCCCCTGCAGCTCCTGGACACCCTGGAGCTGCTCCCAGCCCTGCCATGGAGGGAAAGGCAGATTATCAGCAGAGTGTGGTGAAGCTGGTGGCTGCGTTTGAAGACCACTGGTAAGGCAGGAGGGCTCTGGGTGCTCAGGGTGTGTTAGGGCTCCACGTGGAGTGAGTTTGGGAAGGAGGGAACCCACTGTGGAGGTGGTTTGGAGCCTGTGGAGAAGCTGAAAAGGCGATTTTGGAGAAGCTGACAAGGTGATTTGCAATCCTTCACAACTCAGGTTTGCCTCAGTGTCTCCCTCCTGCTGCAGGTCATGAGCAGAATCTGGAAACCTCAGTGGGGTGTGAGTGGTTCTGCCTGGCTCAGGGTTAGGCTGTGGCAGCCCATTCCCCCACAGCCAGCATCTTCACTCTCAGCCTGCCTGGTGCATCCTGCTGCCTGCTGGGGAAAGGAATTGTGGTTTGCAAATATGTAGGCAGAGGTTTTCACTGGGAATGAACTGCCTGGGTGTCTGGGAGGGTCCCAGCCTCAGACTGTCCAGGTGTTTGCAGAGATGTGGCTCCTAGGAGAGGAAACAGAAAGCATTGTGGTAAGGGAGAGAGAGAATTCCTGTCATAAAAGAAGCTCCTTCCTGTGGAGTGTGAGCTGGGACCCTCAGACAGCGTGTGCTGGGGTCTGAGCGAGGGGATCTGCCCTGGCTCTGGTGTAAAGGTAATTCTGAGGCTTCAGGTGAGTTATTTCTCACTTTCTCCATCTGATGGGTCAAGGCATGGAATCCTGCCATTCCATGAGATGCTCTCAGTGAGCCTTGGAAGGGCTGGGCAGGTGAGTTTTGTAGCCATTCCTGAAGATGCTCAGGCACAAGATTTCCTTTCATTCCAGGAACTCCTGCATCTCTGCTGTGTGCTTTTCCCCAGGCTTTGTGGTTGTGCCCATCATCCCCCAGTGATGTTGTGTTGGAACCACTGCAGTGTTTGATCTGCCCCCATGTCACTGCTGCAGTGTGTTTGTTGTTTGCCTTTGATTTAGAGGAAATAAAAGTAACTTGAGACTTTCAGAGGAAGCTGGGGAACCTGGGAATGAGCAGAGCATTTTGGAGCAGACAATGGTTTGGCCTAAGTCAGCATAAATAGAAAGAGAGAAGTTCCCTGTTGGGACTCAGCTGTGGCTTCAGGCTGACACAGGTTTGGGAGGCACCAGGAGAGATGGAAAAATCCTCTGAAGGGTTCTGCCAGCCCCCCTGGACAGGAGGGGATTTGTGCATGGCTGTGGATGCACTCCTGAGCTCACAGACATCCTTAGCATGGGATGGAGCTGGCATCCTCTTCAGATGAGTCTCTGCTCCCCAAGTCACTTCCTATCCTCAGCTTTGCACTCTGATGTCCAAATTCTTCAGGTCTTTCCCATCCCGTCCATCCCACTCCTGTGTGCAGGCCAGCAGTGGATGTCTTTGCAGTTCTGCCCAGAGCAGTTTCCTGCAGTGACCAGCTCTTGGATGACAGACAAGTCACTTGCTGTCACCTTCATGGCCTGGCTTCTCCCTCATGCCTGCTCTGGACCTGCTTTCATTGTCTTTGCCAGAAAAGGGAAGAGAGAGCACCACCAAAAACAACCTGTCTGCAAAACCACCCACACATGGCCTGCTCTTGGCTCAAAACTCTTGGCTCTTGGGCTTCTCCCTGCTTTTCTCCATGGTGGCAGCAGGCAGAAAACCAGAGCTGTGGGTGGGATAAACAGCAGGATCCTGCTTTTCTAGAGCAGGAGAGGGACTGGGCACAGCAGCAGGGGGCTCTGGGAGAAGAGAGGCTGGATCCTCACCCCATGGAGGATGCTGAGGATGTTTGTACTGCAGGGCAGTGACAGCGCTGGGCAGCTGCTGCTCTTGTCCCTTCTGGTGGCTTTAAGCTGGGCTGTGCTGGGGGAATGGCTGAGCTGATCCCATTCCTCTGTAGCAGGAACAGCACATCTGCCCAGAGGGACAAACAGGCAGGCAGCCAGCTTCCAGCATTCCATGCCAGCCAGAGCCACTCCCTGACCAGAAAGGAGGATGAGGAGGAGAAGGATCAGCAAGGTCAACGTGGACTCAGCTTCAAATGCCTCCGTTCTCTGCGATCCAAAATCCGTGAGGACAACTGGAGGAGGCCACAGGGCCCAGGCCTGGAGCCTGGCAGCCAGGTGAGCTCCAGAGGCTGGTGGGGTGGGTGCCCACACTCAGGCAGGGCTGGCTCAAGGTCTCATCTCTGCCCATGAGACTGAGCCCTGCTCCCCATGCAGGAACCAGAGGAAAAAAAAATCGCCCTGGAGCTGCTGGAGACAGAGCAGGCTTATGTCAACCGCCTCCATCTCCTTGATCAGGTGAACTGGGGAGTGGAGGGACCAGTGCAAGGGGATTTTGGAGGGATTGAAGCTGTAAAAATGAGAAACATGTGGGCTGCTGGTCTTTACAGCCAGAGATTGGGTCTGGCATTTGTCTTTTCTAGACCCCACACCAGTGGGAAGCACCCTTGTCCCAGGAAAGCCTTCCATCCCCCTCTCCTCTTGGAGCCTGGGATTTTCCTCCTGCACAGTCAGACCTTTTACTGGGTGATGTGCCTGTCCCAGAGAGGAAATGGGATCCTCAAACATCTCCCTGGCCCTTTTTGTTCACCCTTCTTTCTTCCAGGTATTCTATACAGAGCTGATGAAAGAAGCCAAAACTGGGAAGACGGTCCCAGAGGAGGTGGTGAAAATGATCTTTTCCAACATCTCCTCCATCTACCAGTTCCATGCTGAGTTCTTCCTGCCAGAGCTGCAGAAGCGCATGGGGGATTGGTGAGTGCAGGAGGGGAGGGGAGGGCAGCACACCTGGGTGCCTTGGCCACAATGGGGGAGCAGCACTGAGTTCAGGCTCCCACCAAGACCAGAGCTCAGCCTGTCACAGACATCTTTTATGAAAAATCCTTTCCTTAGGATTTTTCCTCCTGAGAAGCTGAGAGGCCTCAGGAACAAAATGCAACCAATGGTTATCTGCTGCTGTGCAATGCAACAGGTGCATCTGGGATTGGTCTCATAGAGTTGTTTCTAATTAATGGCCAATCACAGCCCAGCTGGCTCAGACTCTCTGTCCAAGACACAAGCCTTTGTTATCATTCTTTCTTTTTCTATTCTTAGCTAGCCTTCTGATGAAATCCTTTCTTCTATGCTTTTAGAGTAGTTTTAATATAATATATATAATAAAATAATAAATCAAGCCTCCTGAAACATGGGGTCAAATCCTCATCTCTTCCCTCATCCTAAGACCCCTGTGAACACGGTCACACAGCCTGTTTATCTCCAAGTGTCTTTTGCTGGAAAACACTTCCTTAAAATGCTCAGAGCAGAGTATGGAAAACTGGGTGACATCTCAGGTGGTTTGAGGGTGTGCCTGGGTATGAACAGCCCAGGCTGGCTGCAAGGTGGGGACATTCCTGCTCTGGAGAGCAGGAATCAGTGTGGGGATGTAGCAGCCTGCAGCAGGGAAAACCTCAGTCCTCCAGCGTGGTCCTTCAGTTCATCCCTCACTGTCTGTCTGTCCTGAGGAAGCTGCTGGTCTGTGGTTCCCTCCTGCAGGCACCACAACCCCCGCATTGGGGATGTCATCCAGAAGCTTGCACCCTTCCTCAAGATGTACGGGGAGTATGTGAAGAACTTTGACAAGGCCGTGGAGCTCATCACTGCCTGGTCAGAGAAATCACCCCCCTTCCAGGAGCTCATTGCTGACATCCAGGTAAGGGCAGGGCGGGGGAATGGCAGCAGAGCTCCCAAAATCTCCAGGGAGTGGGGAAACAACAGAGGGTGGGAGCTGCCTTGGTCACTGTTCCTTGGTCACTGTTCCTCTGTCCGTGCTTGCTGTCCCTGGCCAGAAGAGGAAGGTCTGTGCTAACCTGACGCTCCAGCACCACATGCTGGAGCCTGTGCAGAGGATCCCGCGCTACGAGCTCCTCCTCAAGGATTACGTCCGGAAACTCCCGCCCCAGTCCCCCGACAGAGGCGATGCCGAGAGTAAGGGCTCACGGAGGGGAGGGCAGGGTGGATCTGTAGGGAAATAACAACCCCTGGTTGTTGGCGAAGATGAAACAGGAAAGCCTTATAAATAGGATTGTCTGGCAAAAGATTTTGAGAATATGGAAACTATAAGTGAGATTGAAATGAAAGCAAGCTTTGAGATCCCTCAGTTACTGAACAACTGGAAAACAATGGTGTGGCCACTGAAGGTGATCCCCTTTTGATGGAACAACACCCTCTGCTTGCAGACAGGCCCAAGGGTCAGAGCAGACCCTGCCAGCTTGGCAGAAGGGGCCCAAAGAGGAGTTTTTAGGGTTTAAAATGTAACACAGTGTGGCAATGTAATGATTCTTATAGGCTGTATGGAAATGCTATAGGATTTGTATCTTGTACTAGATTGGTCAGTGAGAATCGGAATATTCAACACAGAAGAAGATTTATGGTATTGTAATGGGAACCTCGCTCTCTTACCTTTTTTACTCCCTTACACTCTTACCCCTTTTACTCCCTTACCCTTTCATCCTCTCTCCCCCTCTCTTCTCTCAGTCCTGCTCCAGCTGTGGCTGGCAGCTCCCAGCAGGGCCCTGCACCCAGGCCCTTTGCAATAAACCCCAAGTTCCACGGCCTGGCTGCAGAGATCTCTCCTCTCCATCCATCTCCACTGTCCTACCCCCTACACCTGGTGTTGTACATGGGCACCAGATAACCTGGCTTCACTCTCCAGCTGCCCTGTGCCCTTGGATAAACCTCTCAGTCTGATCCTTTTCTAGCAGGGAGAGGGATTAATCTTCTTTTTCAGGGGCTGGGGAGGGGAAGGGTGGTGTGTCAGGTGGCCACAGTAACCCCCAAGGACACCTGTAGCAGCTGGGGGAGCTTGTGGATAACACATCAAACCCCTGTGGATAACACAGTTCCCAGTCCTGCTGGCATGGAGGGATACAGGAGCGGGCTGTCTGTCCCTCCATGTGCAGTCCAGCTGTACCCAGACTCCTGCACAGCATTTCAGGGCCACTTTGGTTGTGTTCATGGAAGGGCAGCAGCTGCTACTCATGTGCATCCATGAGGGACAGAGCCAGAATCTTCCTCCCACAGCTCCAGAGCAGGTGTTATGTGTTTCACCTCCTGTCTGTTCTCATTGCAGAGGCCCTGGAGATGATTTTTATGGTGGCCAAGCACTCCAATGCAGCTATTGCCGAGATGGTGAGGCCCTGTCCCAGCTGGAAATGCTTTGCAACTCACAGCACAGTCCCCCTGAAGGGGACAAGAGCCCTCTGGGTTCACATGGGAGCTTTAGACCCTGTTCTTAATGCCCAACCTCACCACCAAGTCACATCTGTAGCATCAGCTGGGCTGTGACCAGCTGGTCAAGGCTGGGAGCTGCTCCCAAAGATCAGTCTGGGCTGAGAGAGCTGTGCCACCTCTCCCAGCACTCAGCCACAGGCTGGGAGGTGGGCATGGAGGGGACCCAGCTGTGACAGGGTTGTGGCTGCTCAGCACCCCACAAGAACAGGTCCTGTGCCTCCCCCAGGAACGGCTGCAGAACCTCTGGGTGGTCTATCAGAGGCTGGGCCTCGAGGATGACATCGTGGATCCCTCCAATGAGCTGATCAAAGAGGGGCCAATCCAAAAAATCTCCACCCGCAACAACAGCACATCGGAGAAGTACCTGTTCCTGGTGGGAGCTGGGGTGCCTGGGGCAGGGAGCAGATGAGGTGGGAGGGGGGACAGGGGTGGTACAGCCTGGCCAGGGTGTTGCTGGGTCACCTTGACACAGAGGGGATGAATTCAGAGCTGGGTGGGGAGGGTTTGACCCCGCTCAGTGCAGGGCACGGTTGGGAATCTGCTGATCCCTGGGCATGGCATCCCTGGGAGATGCTTCACCTTTGCAGGGTGGGAGGGGGCTGAGGCAGAAACAGACAAGTTTTAGGTGGCAGTGAAGGACCCCAGACCCCAGGGAAGCCCACAGCTCAGAGCAGGCAGTGCTGGGCTCCAACCCACCCTCTTCTCCCCTCCCAGTTCAACAACATGCTGCTCTACTGCGTGCCCAAGGTCATCCAGGTGGGCGCCGAGTTCCAGGTCCACCTCCGCATGGATGTGGGGGGCATGAAGGTCAGACAGCTGCCCTTGTCTCTGTGCTTCCCCCAGCTCCTGCCTGCTCCAAAAGCCTCTGCTCTGGGGTGTGGCTGCTGCCCAAATTTCCTCAGGAGGGAGGGAGGAGCTGGAGGCAGGGGTGGCTTTGTGAGTGGGGTTGATAACTCTGATCCTGGGAAATGCCAGTGAAATCTTGTGTCTGTGGGATCTGAGGGGCTGAAGGGCTTGTGTGAGAGGGACATCCCTGTACCCCACATCATGGAGAAAGGTCCAGGTGTGCTGCAAGTGGGTTCAGCTCCACATCCTTCCTCTGGTCTCCCACAGGTGCGGGAGCTGAAGGACGCTGAGTTCCCTCACACCTTCCTGGTCTCGGGAAAGCAGCGGACACTGGAGCTCCAAGCCAGGTAAGGGAAAGGGTGAAGTCATGCACATCCTCAGGGAGGAGGGACAACAGCTCATCCAGCTCCTTTTTGTACCCAGATCTGAGGAGGAGATGAACGACTGGATCCAGGTACCAGCGAGTACTGGGAGAGGGGGCACAGCTTCCCCCATCCCAGCTGGATGCCCTGGGTGAGGGCACCCCCAGTTCCCCTCCAGCCCTGCCTTCCCCTCTAGGCCTTCCAAGATGCCATTGACAGGAAGGAGAAGAGGAGTGAGACCTTTAAGACAGCAGTCCATGGACTGGAGACAGACACCCCTGCACTGAAGGTACCCTCCTGCTCTCCCTGTGTCCCACCTGGGAGAACACACCTTGCTGTGCCTCAGTTTCCCAAGCTCAACCGACCTGGGGGGAGGCTGAGGACACCCAGACTGTGCTTTCCCACCCCCAGGCAGAGGAGCTGGGCCGCCGAGCCCCGCAGTGGGTGAGGGACAATCTGGTGACCATGTGCATGCGCTGCAGGGAGCCCTTCAACGCCATCACCCGCCGGAGGCACCACTGCCGAGCCTGTGGATATGTGAGTGCCCCCTCTGCTGGCCTGCTGGGCCAGGAGTGCACCTTGTACCCCTTTCCTAGGCTTGGGGCTGTGTGACCGTGTTCACAGGGGTCTTAGGATGAGGGAAGAGACGAGGATCTGACTCCATGTTTCAGAAGGCTTGATTTATTATTTTATGATATATATTATATTAAAACTATACTAAAAGCATAGAAGAAAGGATTAATCAGAAGGCTAGCTAAGAATAGAAAAAGAAAGAATGATAACAAAGGCTTGTGTCTCAGACAGAGAGTCTGAGCCAGCTGACTGTGATTGGCCATTAATTAGAAACAACCACATGAGACCAATCCTTGATGCACCTGTTGCATTCCACAGCAGCAGATAACCATTGGTTACATTTTGTTCCTGAGGCCTCTCGGCTTCTCAGGAGGAAAAGTCCTAAGGAAAGGATTTTTCATAAAAGATGTCTGTGACAGAGGCTGCTCCTGCCCCTCAGCTCCTCGTGGAGCTGTCGCTGGGTCCCCTGGCCCTGCCCCAGTGTCACCAGTGTCCCCATTGGTGGCTGCAGGTGGTGTGTGCTCGCTGCTCTGACTACAAGGCCGAGCTGCAGTACGATGGGAACCGCCCCAACCGCGTCTGCCAGGAGTGCTTCATCTTCCTGACCGGCCACACGGTGCTGGAGGACCGCGAGGGGAAGCACAAAGGCATCCTGGAGGTGAGCTCCACCCCCGTGTGCCACCTGAGCACTGCCACCCACCCCGGGCTCCAGCCTCGCTGTCCCAGCCTGGGCCTGCAGCAGGAGGGGTGGGAATCACTCCCAGGGCACTCAGAAGGTGCATGTGTTGATCTCCCTCCCTCCCTCATGCTCCAAGCCTTGGACCCAGCAGCTCCCTTCACCACAGGATGTCAGCAGCACCGTCACAGCCCTCACCTGCCCCTGCTTTCCCTAGAGTGGGCAGGGAATTCCCCAGGAAATCAGCTCAGTGCCCTTTCTACCATCTGCACTGGGTATTAAGGGATCTGTTGGTTGTTTTGGCAGAAAGGAGCTGCAGAGGTATCAAGCAGGAGTTTGCTCTGCAGTTCCCTGCAGCTGCTGGACAAGAACGGCAAGGGGGGCACACGGGGCTGGTTCGTGATCCCACAGGACGATCCCCTTGTGCTCTACATCTATGCAGCCCCCCAGGTGAGGCCTGGCTTGAGTGCACCCCCAGGGGACATCCCAGTGTGCCCAAGGGACATCCCAGGACATCCCACTGTGCCCAAGGGACATCCCACTGTGCCCAAGGGACATCCTGCTGTGCCCAAGGGACATCCCAAGACATCCCACTGTGCCCAAGGGACATCCCGGGACATCCCGCTGTGCCCAAAGGACATCCCATCCTGCTGTGCCTAAGGGACATCCTGGAACGTCCGGCTTTGCCCAAGGGACATCCCATCCTGATGTGCCTAAGGGACACCCTGGGACATCCCATCCCACTGTGCCCAAAGGACATCCCGGGACATCCCACTGTGCCCAAAGGACATCCCGGGACATCCCGCTGTGCCCAAGGGACATCCCAGGACATCTTGCTGTGCCCAAAGGACATCCCATCCCCCTGTGCCCAAGAGACATCCTGGGACATCCCACTGTGCCCAAAGGACATCCCATCCTGCTGTGCCCAAAGAACATCCTGCTGTGCCTAAGGGACATCCCAGGACATCCTGGGATGTCCGGCTTTGCCCAAGGGACATCCCATCCCACTGTGCCCAAGGGACATCCCACTGTGCCCAAGGGACATCCCAGGATATCCTGCTGTGCCCAAGGGACATCCCATCCCACTGTGCCCAAGGGACATCCCACTGTGCCCAAGGGACGTCCCATCCCACTGTGCCCATGCCCTGCCCCCCACCGCTGTCTCTCTTCTTGGCAGGACGTCCGAGCCCACACCTCCATCCCCCTGCTGGGCTATCAGGTGCGGGACATGCCCCAGAGCGAGTCCCGGCACCTGTTCCAGCTGGTGCAGTCCCGGCAGGTGTTCACCTTCGTGGCCGACACTGAGGAGCTGAAACAGCGCTGGATGAAGGCCATGGCGCGCTCTGCTGCGGGGATCACGGAGGAGGAGGAGGAGGAGGATGCAGATGAAGCACAATGAGGCCATTCCCAGCCCTGCGCTGCCTGGGGGCAGGGAGGGGGGGTCACACCTTCCCTGCCTGCTCTCACTGCTGCCTTTGGGCACACCCCAACATCGCTGTGTTCTGGTTTTCCATCGTGATAGGGGCAGGATGGGGACACGTTTGCCAGCACATGGATCCCCTTTCACTCCCTGCTCGCTCTCTGCGCTGGACAGAGCCCCTGGGAGCGGGGGATTGGGGGAGCCCGGGATTTTGGGGAGGAGGGGATTTTGGGGAGCAGAGATTTTTGGGGAGGAGGGGATTTTGGGGAGGAGGGGATTTGGGGAGCGGAGATTTTTGGGGAGCCCGGGATTTTGGGAAGCGGGGATTTGGGGGAGCGGGAGATTGGGAGAGTGGGGATTGGGAGAGCGGGATATTTGGGGAGCGGGATATTTGGGGAGCGGGGATTTGGGGGAGTGGGGGATTTGGGGAGCGGAGGATTTGGGGAGCGGGGATTTGTGTGGGGGGGGATTTAGGGGAGCGGGGCATTGGGGGAGCGGCGATTTGGGGAGCCCGGGCGCGGTGCGGTGCCGCCGGCGGCCACGCGAGGGCAGCACCGCCCCGTTGTTCCGCAGCCGGGCGGGGATGCCCGAGCCGGGAGAGCCCGCGGGCCTGGGACTGCTCGGATAAACCCTCCTGCCACCCCTCTCTGCGCTCCTTGCAGCCTTTTTTTGGCGTCTGTTTTACAGAGAATCCCCGTGGGATTGTCCTCGTGGCTCCACATTGTTACATATGTCACAAATATATCAGGGATCCAGCTTGTAGCTCAGCCTCACAGCTCAGGGACACTGGTGCTGGATTCAGGATGTCCCTTTTCTAGTTTGTCACCACTCCTGGCCTCACGCTGCAGTCCTGTGGTGTGGGGGTACCCCTTAACCACAGAGAGCCCTCGCCTGCCTCTCTGAACCAGCCCACACTCCTGCCCATCCCAGACTTTCCCTGCACTCTCCTGCCCACAAGCACCTTCCACCCTTGTACCTCCCTCAGTTACATTTCCAGGGGGAAAACACTCTGGGACAAGGTCATGTCCACACGGGTGATGCTGGGGAAACATGGGGGATCCCCCTCTCTATCATCAGCATAATGAGCACCCCTGTTCATTTCAGTCAGTGCTTTAGGCTGCAGCCCCACATTTTTCTCTCTGTGTCCTCTTTAGCTCCCCAGAAATGTTGCCCAGGCAGAAGTTGCCACTTCTGAGCCTGCCAGGGGCCTCATGCCCAGAGGTGGAGGAGCCCACGATCCCTGGCAGGCAGGGATTGCTCCCTGGACCATGCAGCAGCTCCAGCAGAGCAGCCTTGGGCAGAGCCCAGGGGTGTCACAGGCTGAACAGATCCCTGCAGACTGGGAAGGCAGGTGGAGCAGGGTCCTGCAAATGGGAACAACACCTGGGGAAAGGATGGGGGGGGGGGGGGGTAAAGATGAATCACAGCTGTCACCACCCTGGGGGGCTTTGGGGAGACAGGAAAAAGCTCTGAGCAATGTCCTTCCTCAGTCTTCTCAACCTACTCATCCTGGAAAAGGGCAAACTGCGGTGGCTTTATCTCCTCCAGCTCAAGAGATCCTGTCAAGGAAGGGGGAGAGGAGGAGCTGGGTGAGAGTCGGGGTGAGAGCTCTGCCCCCCATCTGAGCCCAGATGCACACAGCACAAACGGGGCTTTCCAGAGACACCCCAAACCAGCCCTCAGCTCCCAGTGTCACCCGTGGGAAGGGGAACCCCCTCCCGGCAGCCCTGGCAGAGGCGGGGAGTGCAGGGTGAGCAAGGGGAGGAAAGAGTGAGCAAGGGGAAGCCCCTCGGGGCTGGAAGGTTCTGCCTGGTGGCCCTTCCACCTCAGCTGTGTCACCGCTGTGTCAGCGAGGAACAAAACAAGCCCCGAGCAAGGAGCTGCTCTCAGCTCAGCTCGTGAATGGCCTAAGAATAAATTTCCTGTTTACCCAGTGAGGAATCGCTCCCGGGGCAGAGGGCACCTGGGGCTATTTTTGGAGCTCCTGCTCTCCTCCCTCCTGACCCCCAGCACCCTCGGGATCACTGCAGCACCCATGGCTGCCTTGGAAGGGGGCTGCCACAGAGGAGAGGTGGCCCAGGGATGGAGGGGGTGGCAGGGCACCAGGGCAGGCCCTGTGTGGGGCTGGCCCCTATGGAGCCCAGCACCCTCACAACCAAATCCCAGGGGTTATAGAGCAGAATCTGCTGGCCCAGCACGGCAGACACCTAAAGAACAGTCCCTAGAGAGCACAAAACCCCATCCCATGTAGTGCAGAGGGATCTGCAGTTGGTGAGTGAGAGAACATGCCCAGTGGAACAGTCCCCAAAGAGGGGAACTGCCAAGCATGCAGAGAACCCCCCTAGAGAGCCTGTCCCTATGGATGAAGAGCCCAGACCCCACAGAGCAGCTCCCAGAGCAGCCCTGCAGGCTGGGCCTGCATTGTGCCACCCTCAAAGAGAGGGCGACAGCATCACTGCCCCGAGCACCCCCAAACAGGAGGGTGGGAGACCAAACTTCAAGAGATCAAACTTTATTTTGATTCCCCAAAGAAAAGGATTTTAACAGGTGCAGAGAATAAATACAGTGATGAATTTTCCCTGCCTGTCCTGTCTCAATCCTCAGGCGGTACCACAGCAGTGGTCAAGCAGAGCAGTTTGGCCTCCCGCCTCCAAAACAGAAAGTGAAACCCCTGTGCAGAAGCCACAGTTTCCTATTCTCGAGAATGGGGAAGGCTCAGAGGCCATTTACTGGCATCCCCCCGCGGGCCCCCCCATGCCTCTTCCCGTAAGCACTGACCAAAATACCCTGTGAAACCCACAGGGGCTGTGCTGGGCTGGGACAGCATCACAGAGAGCACCCAGGGGAACCTGTGTCCCTGAGCTGCTGCCCTGCAGAGGCTCCACTGTGCCCTGCTCATCCCAAACCCCAGCTGGGGATATTGCTCTGCTGGATACACAAAACCAGACATACTATTGGTACTGTGTATTATCTGCTGTAGAGACTCTCATCAGATTCCAGAGAATCTCTTAAATTCTAAGGAGATTCTCTAAATTCTAAGAGATTCAAAAGAATCTCTTGAATTCTAAGAGATTCCAGAGAATCTCTTAAATTCAGGGACAGTATGAGCTGCCACTGGCATTGTTTGTATGCCTCTGTACTATAAAGACAGATGAACAATATGTTAAACAGCAAAATAAGCATACTGCTATTAATTGCATGCCATTAACCCTTCAGATTTACCAGTGCAATCACTGGAAGTAGATTCATACAGCCCATGAATGTCATGCATACTTTTGTGTGGCCCCCACCTCTGGAGCGTGTGGAGAGGTTTGAGGGAGCAGAGGAGGTGGCAGGGGCACAGCTGTGGTCCCTCCTTGCAGGGCTCTGTGGCTGCAATCTCCCCCTGATCCCCAGGAAGGGGCTCAGCAGGGCCTGGGCTGGTGCCCTGCAGGTGTGGGGTGGGGTGGGAACCATGTGGGGCTGTAGAGCCCCACAGGCCCAGCCTGCAGGGCTGCTCTGGGAGCTGCTCTGTGGGGTCTGGGCTCTTCATCCATAGGGACAGGCTCTCTAGGGGGGTTCTCTGCATGCTTGGCTGTCCCCCTCTTTGGGGACTGTTCCACTGGGCATGTTCTCTCACTCACCAACTGCAGGTCCCTCTGCACTACATGGGATGGGGTTTTGTGCTCTCTAGGGACTGTTCTTTAGGTGTCTGCCCTGCTGGGCCAGCAGATTCTGCTCTATAACCCCTGGGATTTGGTTGTGAGGGTGCTGGGCTCCATAGGGGCCAGCCCCACACAGTGCCTGTAGGTGTTGAGTTCCATAGGGGTGTTCCCTGGAGGGGCTGTGACCCACAGAGAGCCCCTGCTTGGGGACAGCACATCCCTTACTGTGGGACAGGACAACCCTTGCTGTGGGGCTCTTGGGGCAGCACATCCCTCATTATGAGATTTTGGGCAGCACATCCCTCACTGTGAGATTTTGGGTAGCACATCTCTCACTATGAGATTTTGGGCAGCACATCCCTCACTGTGGATTTTGAGTAGCACAGCCCTCAATGCAGGGCACTGGACAGGACAACCCTTGTTGTGGGGCTCTTGGGGCAGCACATCCCTCACTGTGGGATTTTGGGTTTCACACCCCTCACTGTGAGATTTTGGGCAGCACATCCCTCACTGTGGGGCCGGGGTCACTCCCCCCTCGCTGAGGCATCTTTGGGCAGCTCTCCCCTCGCTGAGGCATTTTTGGGCAGCTCTCCCCTCGCTGAGGCATTTTTGGGCAGCTCTCCCCTCGCTGAGGCATTTTTGGGCAGCTTTTTTGGGCAGCTCTCCGCAGCGCCGCGGTGCCGGAGCTGCAGCAGCTCAGCCTCTGCAGCCTCTCAGCCCCACCGGCGCTTCCGCTGCTCCCGCCAAGCGCTTTAAATAATAAATAAATGGAGTTCAGAGGCAGCCACAGCAGAGCCCTGCCCCGGGGCATCGCTCCCGCCGTGCCAGGGCTGCGGGGACACGAGGGACACGGGTGTCCCCTGGGTCTGGGGGCATCCCCTGCATGGATGTGAGATGATGCTAAATGATGGAAAATATTGGTGATACACCCCCCCCCCCCAAAAAAATACAACCCCATAACCAGGATTGTGTAACCTTAGGGGTACCTCACCCTGCTCTTCCACCACCCCCCCAGGTCCCTCAGGGAACAACTCAGACCCGGAGGGGGATCCCAGGATCCATCCAGCTGCACCCCATTTTGTCGCTGTGGGGGTGTCCCCATGCTTGGGGCAGCGTTTGAGGAGGGGGAAGGCTCCACCTGCCCCCGCAGGTGCCGGCAAAGGGCATTTCGTGCGCTCGGGAAGGAGCAGGTCGTGCATCCCGGCGTCTGGCGAGGCGGGAGGTGTTTCCCGGTGCCGCAGGAATTTGCTGTTTGCGCCTGTGTTGCAGGAGGTTGGGGGAAGGAAGAAGGGGCGGAGGTGGTGGTGGTGGAGGGGGGGATGATGCTGGCAGTTGTTATTA